GACGGTCTGAGTGAGGTCGAAATAGATCGTAAGTTATGACCATAACTATGGATCTATGAGACCGAACGATGACCGTCACCATCCCTTGTCACTCGGGACGAACTGGGCGTTCCAGGCAAGAGGAAGTGGTTGGTTCACCTGGATGTTATATAGCCAACCCCTAAGGTCAGTCACCTGACATTGTTGATATTAGGTCTCGAGGATGGGCAGAAGAATGGCGTCATTCAAGGTAAGACCGTGGTGACGGTCATCGTTCGGTCTCATAGATCCATAGTTATGGTCATAACTTACGATATGTATATAGTTCGTTCCTGCTTCTTGTTTTACGTTCTGAATTATATATATAAAAAACATATTTTATTTATAAATTAATTTCACTGTATATAGTCTAACGTATGAAAGAAATGTATGTACATTTTTAGAATAACTCATTTCTACATCAAACACAACAATACACCATCGCATTCGCGACTCTCCTATGATTAAAGGCGACACTTCCGGTTTTCTTCCAACCGGAGCCATTTCAAAACGGCGGCTGCGTGAAATCACTAGTAAACACAAGTAAACACTGCAACCTTTCATGTGCATTCATGCATATATCTAAACATAATGCTATGGATCTAAATATAATGCCATCAACACTTTTCATGATTATATAACTTTGAGAGCTGTAATAGTAAAAACGTGCTAAAGGTTTTCGAGAAAGTTCCACATGTAATACTAGCCATTTCATATGCAAAGCTGTCAGCCAATCACAGCAGTGGGCGTTTACACTGAAGTCTCTCAGCATACACGGCCCAACAGAGCGTTCAAATCAGAGGGATAAAATCAGGGTATAGGAAAAATGCCTTTTATTTCTAAATTATGACAATATCTGATGTAAAAAACAAGTGCACCCCAGGAAACATTATAAAACAATAAAACAATGCAGTTCATGCCCCTTTTCATAACAAAAAGTTCTATTTTTGGCAAATGTAAATGCCCTTTCAAACCAAAAGTGAGATGAGTAAATGCCTGCTCACATTTAGTCTAGAACTACAATAACCATCATGTTTACACAGCACACACAATACCTCTACTTACTCCCAATTTCTCTCAACATGGGGACAAAAGAGGAGTCAGTCAATAAATGTGAAAATAAAGTGACTTGCATTACTTATTTGAAAAAGTAACTTTTCAAAAAAAAAAGCAACAAGATGTCTTGTTGTAAATTTAAAAGCATTACTTTAGTTAATTAAAAAAAGTAATCTGATTATGTAACGTGCGTTACTTGTAATGCGTCACCCCCAACACTAATTAAGATTATTTTAGTTTAAAAAATATTTTCGGTTTAAAAAAGTTCTATCCAATTTTGTACATTTCCATTGCCGTGACAATGTCAAACCTCGTAAAACCCTTAAACAACCATAAAAATGACGAGAACAACTTTATATCTCGAAAAATACACAAGTGCTCAAAATTATTATACATTTCACATTTCGGCTTTTAGATGTTTTAAAAATTGGCCCCATTCACTTCCATTCTAAGTGACCTCAGTTTTTACTTTAAAAAATGAGTGATGAGCTCAACTGTTTATGCCACAACATTTTGCCACAAATGCTGCTGATCCAGCTTAACCTGTTTTGAAAACACCCAGCAATTGACCTCAGATGCCATGTAATTTCGGCTGAAATACCCCCACACAAAAGCATAATTAGCATCATTAGCCTCAACATATCAAAAAGGAATATTCATTTGAACATGAGTTTGGGCTTGTTACAGGGACTAATTTATGAGTGCACAATCCTCTCTTTGATTTCCTTTTTGACAGTAAGGTATAGTGGTCCCTAGGGCATCCATTGATCAATGTGCATTTACCTCAGCATTAATTATGCATGTGTCTCCATTTGACCCAGCATGCACTGGGACCACATACTGGGAAGTGTTGGACATAACTGCCTACGCAGGATTAAAATGAGATGCCCATTGGTATTTGAGATCTTCATGAAGGTGTATGGAAACAGTTATCGATTCAAAAGTAACCCACAAACTTTTGGTGGTCATAATTATCACCTGTACAAACAAGAACAAAATGTGACAAATTAGAGGTGTTAGGATCATTTATTATTCAAACCATGTGTGATAACCCCTCAACCTAATTTTGTTCAAGATAATTATGTACAGATTGTATGACCTCATATTGTTAACAAAGACATGGACTACTTATCAAAATTAAATTGTCATACCGGAGGACTATTAAACTGCAAACATATAAAAGGCAATTAAAATTAAAATGCGGTGACAGCTCATGAATCACACCCTTGCCTTATTCATAATTATATGTACATTTGTATATACAATCTTGATTAATTTTTTAGTATCATCATAACATTAACTGTGCCCCACTGGCCCATTAACAAAAGTTTAAACATCAGACAATTCATTTTGTAAATGTTTTGTAAAATAAACGTTCATTTAATTTAATACAATATGAATTTTGAGCTCTCTGGAATTCTGTAACGTTCTGGTGGTAGCTGAAAGCACACAACGAAGATGAGGGTGAAACACAGACTTTCTAAATTCAAGCAGAACAGAAACAACCACATCAAACATCAACGAGATCCGACAAGGGTCTGAACAGAACAGAGTGTATAAATACACATGAGAGAACTAACTCAGGTCTCTAGATGAAGATGAACCAATCAAGGACTAACAAGAACAGGTGCAGACAAGACAGAACTTAATTGTGACAATTGGATTCTGATTGGTCAGTCGAGGAATTCTGAGAACTTTGGTGCATTCAAATCTGCAATCTGCATTTATATATATATATATATATCAGGGGCGTAGCCAGTATTGGGCCAGGGCGGCACTGGCCCGCCCACATTACTCACTGGCCCGCCCAGGCAAGTTTGATAAAAATACATTTTTAGTTTATTTTTATTCAAATGTATTTAAGAAAATATATTAATATATACCTGATTTATTGTTGACTGCTGTGTGTGTTTAATTCGTTTTCCGAATAAAACGGAACTGTCGAAGCAAGTTGTAGAAAGCCTCTCTCCGGAACGTTATTGGTTGCTATGGTTGCTGGGGGTTCCGACAGGAAAACTCACAGCGGCGTCGGCGCCACAATAATGGCTAAACAACTTTCTTTAATGTGCTATTTGAAAAAAGCAAGAGTTGAGGAAGAAGACACGCCACTGCCTTCAACTACCGAGTCCCAGTTTTTCAGACTCATTACCCCAGAAGAAGGCTAGTCAGGTGCGGCTGCTTCTTGCTCCCTCTCTCCCGGTCAGCCCGACGCGGGTTTACCCGCCGATCTAATAGCGATATTATTATTTTAGCTTACTTTATTTTCGGGTGAACTGTCTTTGCATTGCTGACTAGCCTGAATAAAATAGACAGGTTATTGTCTAATGTCTACACTGGTTTGTCCAGCCTTGATTAAGCTCTGTTGGTTGAACATGATGATTTGCCGAATATAAAGCTGTAACTGTTTTTGCAGTTTGTCGATTCATTTTTCTACTCTCTAAGGTTAATTATTACTGAAGTCATTTTTTTTCTATGAAAAACTATAGGCCCACTCACATTTTCACTGGCCCACCCAAAATAAAATTTCTGCCTACGCTACTGATATATATATATATATATATATATATATATATATATATATATATATATATATATATATATATATATATATATATATATATATGCCACACTTTTATTTGTTATATAATTTTATTTAATTAATATTTTACAATATCTGTTTACCCAAACAATGTTTTGATGTTTTTGTATGTTAACTTTGACCTATATTTAAGACAAATTCACGAGTTCACACTTACATACAATTAAAGGGAATAAAGTATAATGCGTATTTGGCGTGGTGTCCGGGGGGAGGGCTCCGAGCTCGGAATTTGGCCCGAACCCAGAGTAGCCTACTCCCCCGTATGTAAAGTGGTTTAGGACTAGAAGAGTGGAGAAGGGGTGGTGGAGGGACGCTGCTAAACTGTCAGAGAAATGAGGTGAGACTGCTGAGTCTATTGCTGCGTTCCAGGCAGGTTTTTGAGCACGTAAATCACGACTTCAAACCACGACTCACGACTTTGTAGCGTTCCAGGCCAGTCACGCCAAACTACCTGAGCGCAATATACATACTTATTTTTTCAGACACATAACATTGTATTACATAATCGTGTGTGTATATACATACTTATTGTTTCAGACACATAACATTGTAATACATTATCGTGTGTTTATTATTATCATTATTATTATATTATTATTAATTTGACTGCAACGTTATATTGTCCTAAAGTGTATTCTCACTGTGTACCGCCTGCAGAAACACTGCATCCGTAGGGGCTGCCATTGTTGTTTTGTATGGTTTTGCGGGCTATGTGACGTCAGAACTCGTAACTGGGAGTACATCGATCTAGTACGAGTTCACGGGTGGGAAGTCACGGGTTTGACTGCCGTTCCAGTGCACTTTCACAGGTATAAGGTTGGAAAAACACGGGTTACAGGTTGCCTGGAACGCGGCATATATATACACGTTTTAATCATGATTGCTGAGTGCTCTCCACCCGTGTTAATTATCTGAACGTGCTTCTCCCGAACTTTGTTAATAAAACATCATTTGATGGTGTTACATTAACCGACCATGATTATTAAATTAATTGGCTTGTACACCCTGTTATCTAGGTATTACAACCACAAAATCAACAAGATAATATATGTTAATTTTCTAATTAAAGCAGTTTTTTTTTCCATCCATATTCTGTGCATTGGCTCCTCTCATCTCACAGTGCCAACGTCATTTGAACAGACCAATGAAACGTCTCCTTTCGGAGGCTGAAAACAAGTTCCACGAAGAGGCTCGTAGAACATTGGACCCTGGCAAATCTACAGGGAGTAGGTTCGTCGGCTGAAGCAGCAGACAACTTTTAGCAGGGCTGTGTTTATTTACAAGAGCTGTAGGTTTTCCAGAGCAAAGTTGCTCTCCAGAATTCAGCACTGGAGCTGTCCAGCTTCCGCGCCTTCAGCTCGCGCTTCACAAACAACGCGGTCCTCGGCTGCGGGATATTTGTTTGACTGGGACACACACACACACACACACACACACACACACAACAGTAGGCTGTGGTACAGTGGCCGCCGCGATTACACACGCATAGCCTTCACTGATGAAAGCAACGCTTGAAATGACTGCTGGCAGCGCGTGAGGAGAGGAGCAGAAGAAATCCAGTCCCAAGTACCGGAGCACCATCCAATTTCCTCCAGGTTAGTCTTAGTTCCTTTCTAACTATAGGCTACTAAGTAGATCAAGAATATTATGATTTTCACAGTCCACATTTAACGCCAATTAGCCAATCTTGCAGAACGTGCATTGTGTGCAACATAATATTGCCATACATTCAAACTGCTGGTTATAAACGCACGCAACTAATTGTGCATAGACGTAGCTAAATATCACGAGACGAATCATTCATGCATCAGTTTTGTGTGGGTGTAGAAAAATACCCCGTGTATAGCACTCGATCTAGGTCAGTGCTGTTAGACGGGTGTGGATGAGAGAGCCATGCATTATATTTCATGATTTTCCACTGTGAAATGTAAGAGGAGGCTGTTTATATAGCCAGACTTTACGCAATAACTTTTGCTGCACTGACACGTTACATATTTGCTGTACTGTGATGGATGCAGTGACATTTTCCTAAGATTGACATACACATGATAAGTTGTGCGTGATGAAGTGTATATGCTCCTTTGAGCAGCACTGCAGAGGTAAGTTTTGCTGGATCATTTGCAGTCTCTCTTTGTAAGACCTTGTGCATCACCTCTGACGTCACAGTCCGGAGTGATCAGTGTGTTATGTAGTCATTGAGGCGATGGACTGAGGAGATCGCTTGCATATTCTCAAAAGTCTCAGATTTAGGGGAGATCATGTAGATCTTACAGAATTTCAAGGTCAAACATTCATTCATTCATTTTTAAATGCTGGGTTTTAAATTAAAACCATTAATTAGTATAATAAGTAGCTAATATTAGTATTACATGGAAAATATATTTTTATATTTCATTTTTTTCAAGAATGTAAAGGTTTTTCCCCAATTACAGAACAGCAACAGTAATGAAAGGGTTAATAGGAGTGTACTGAATTTGAACTCTTGTGTACATTTTTAATAATCATTTAATATAATTTAATACATATTGTAAGCAATATTATTTCAGAATTAAGGAGCAATTTTATAGTAATTGCATAATAATAATAATAATTGGTATTAATATTACTACCAATAATATTACTATCAATAAATATAACAACAACAAACAACAACAACACCACCACAACCATAATGATTATTATCATCAATATAACAATGAATTATTATATGAACATAAAGTTGATTTAAACAGAACTTGATGATGATGAAAATAATAAAAAAAAAAAAAAAATATATATATATATATATATATATATAATTTTATTTTTATTATATTATTTTTATTATTATATAAGAAACTATATTATTGATAATAACATAATGGTATTATTATTAACAACAGAGAACATAAACAAAATAAAGTTGATCTAAACCAAATGAAAGGGTTAATTGGAGTGTACTGAATTTGAACTCTCCAAATCAGACTCTTGATAACCCTGAACACATGTGTGTGTTTGTGACTAATGTTAGCTAACATTTGATATATTCCATTATTTCTGCCCTTTCTAGTTATGCGTTTACTATTAGTAATGGTTCAGCTTTAGCAGTGGTTCTGACACAAACACCCTATATAGCTCCTCAGGACTGTCCTCCACCTTTTGGTACTCGGTTCTCTCCTGTCTGCACTTCTACCCACAATGCACCATGAGTGTCAGCTTTGGAACCCTGCAGACACTCTAGGTTCCCTCGTCTCTCTCACAGCGCTCATTGTCAACTCCTCTCAGAAGATTGCCTGGCACAGACTCTGTGCCTGACAGCAACTGAATGCCAACATGGGGGCTCCTCTCTCTAGAGGCATTTACATTCAAATTCCTCCACATTGCGCCGCCTCCGCGCCCATAGGGCAGCGTGCGAGTGGAATTTCAACTCCCAGCACTCTTAGTTTGGCCAGCGTACTTTGCTTTTGGGCTACTGAGTGCCCAAGGTCAGGCACTATGAGTGTATATGCGCTCATACATTTTTACAAGCCCACATTGCATAGAAAGACGTGATTAAGTGTTTTATCACTTTATTACTCATTAGCCTTCACGGAGAGCGTTGGCGATTTTATTTTTGAATTTTGGCTGCTATGTTTTTTCTTCTTTTTTCGGTGGGTGTTTGTGATTCCAATCACTGGCAGAAGGTGGCCTTAGTGAACTCGTTAGTGTGATTAGTTCCAGGCCTTTGGGGATGGGATATTCACATCAATGGGAAGCATTCCCATGGAGAAAAAAAAAGAGAAAGCTTTGTCGCTATCCTATTCACAGAACGGTTCCTCACAGGAGTAACACATGAAAGGCAGGGATTGTTGGGATTCAAGTCAGCGACAACTTGACAGTGCGAAGCCGATTTGTGAAACATGGTATTACAATAATATTAGAGGGGAAAACAAAGGCTGATGAACATGTAGGTGCAATGCATCTGAACATTCACACAAACTCAGATGTTTTTCTGCAGTAAACAAGAGTAGCTTCTGAAATGTTTGAATTTTTCAATTTTGATTTTTTTCCTGCAAAAAATAGATATTTTCAAGAAATACTTACTGTTTTTTATCCATGTAGATGTAGGCTATTTGCACTTCTGAATTCATTTATGGATCATAAGAGGATGCTGGTCAGAGAACCGGATCATTTCGATTCATGAATGATTCATTCAGACTGTCTTTCTGAACCGGACTGTTCACAAATCGGCATCTGTACTTCGCTCATTACCATTTTGAAAAAATATTTAGTTTGCAAGCTACTAATAAAAGGCCTACAGTATTGAAGCTATTTTTAGGAGTTCAAGCTTGTAGCGCTGAAACCCTACTGTAATTGGTCAAATTTCCAAGGATCAGCATTCTCCCATAAAAGTGATCGGGCAGACTAAACCATAAGTCGTAGAGACTTAAAACTTTGAGGGCTGATAGTACTCACACCGCTTACAACGTCACCAAGGCTCGCCCCATCGGCCTGACGGGGGCGCTACAACGGGGAAAAGTATGAAATCACTCTTAACTCCTAAACAGTTAGACGTAGACTCAAGTGTCTTATACCGTCGAAATCTCTATCTATCGAAAAGCTCATTCTGTGGTCACGTGAAGAACTATGTGGCGACTGGCCACTTGGTGCTGCTATAACATGGAAAAAACATAAACATTGCCACAACTACGCAACCCTAAGTCTGAGTGACTTGAAAATTGGCATGCGGTGTCTTCGTCCAAGGTGCCAAGACTGCCTTTGAAGACATTCGCGTATCTCAATAAATGCGGCCGGCGGCAAACAATGAAGTTTGATCAGCTACCAGACAAGGTTAATGGAGGCTGATTGGAATGAAACTCGCTGGGCCTGTTTGAATCATGGCCCTAGAGGCCTGTGAGAAATTCGAAAGAAAACGGCCACCGGGGGGTGACTTCTCGTTTTTCACGTGCGCAAAGGATTGTATACCACGCGATTTTTGGCACATGCCCACGTCATTCATACCGCAAGGTACAACTCCTCATTCTGAGCAAATTTGCCTCTAGGACCCCTGTCAATCGAATCGTTCTTTAAATATTGGAGATAATTTCAAAAACCAACTTTTGTGAACCAGTCCTAGGTTTTTGGCTCAACCTCGATAAAACCATTGAGGCACAATTCTTGGGACTCTCTAGGTCAATAATTAGCAAAACAATTTTTTACTTTGGCCTTTATATATAACTGGGTCATTTAGAAAACAGGCGGGGCCAAGTCCACCCAAAAGCCTATCATTCCTAAACAAAAATTCAGAACTTCGCATCATTGGGTGAGCACATGCGGCACATGATCCTAAAGAAACATGCAGACTTTAAAGGAGATCAGCCCATAGGTGGCGCTATAACTGTTAAAAATTTGTAAAATGCTCGATTATATGGCAAATACCATTAAATGGCTGAAATTGGTCCTCTTCCTCCCTGATTTGCGTAGAGCTTCACAAAATTGTGCACATGCAGCACATGATCCTAAAGAAGCATGGAAACTTTTATGGACATCGGGCCAAGGATTGTCACTTTAACTGTTATAAAGGTGAAAAAGGGCTTTAAAAACCATGTATTTCCTTAGTAAATGCTTTATTAGCTGTAAATTGTCCTTTCCATGTATGATCTAAGTGATTACATGCTTGCTATATAAAACAATACCTTACGTGTATGCTTAAAGGCCTTAAAGCTCTTGAACCCCTGATAATTGCTGCTCTCAGCTATATTTTTTATTGATGCTATTTGGTATATTAGAAAAAGATGCAATGCCACACAAATGTCCGTGCATGCAGGGAATCAGTTGATCATTTTTTGAGCTGCTTTATTTATAGGAACTGATTCAATAAAATGGATCAAGTTTAATACATAAGAGAGAGAGAGTGAATATTTTAACTGATCATCTTTGATTATGGCCTCAGTTTACTTGGTTGTAAAGCCACACTTTACATAGATGAGAGAGAGAGAGAGAGAGAGAGAGAGAGAGAGAGAGAGAGAGAGAGAGAGAGAGAGAGAGAGAGAGAGAGAGAGAGAGAGAGAGAGAGAGAATACAGAAAAATATAATTTAATTGAACACTTAGAAGAAGCAAGCGTTGCCTCTATGTGAATTAAATGTACTAAACCATAACCCCTTTTCTGCTGAACATCTGTGCAGACAGATGCCTCAAACAGAATAATAATTTGACGCCAAGGTGTCCCGGTGCCCTCACATAAATTGCCTATAAACTCCAATTCACAGCCTCACTTTATGAGATATGATTTCACACAGTACATGTCAACATGATATTGAAAGCAAGCGTTGTAACCAATCCTTCTCAAGATGAATGTGATTTTATCTATCTATCTATCTATCTATCTATCTATCTATCTATCTATCTATCTATCTATCTATCTATCTATCTATCTATCTATCTATCTATCTATCTATCTATCTATCTATCTATCTATCTATCTATCCTCTTTTTAAAATTCGTATAACAGTTTTCCTCAATCACTTTGGCACATTTTTTGGAGTCAGTCAGTCATTCTCTAAACTGTAAACTCAATTGTCACAACTGTTTGCTGGAACATCAGAACTCTATTGCATCTGCAAAATGTTGTAACTC